AAATAATGGATGCTGGCAAATACCACTTGATGAGGGGGGGGGGGGTCAACTTCTTACAACATTTTACCATATGGACGATACTGTTTTCGACGCATTCCTTTTGGTACAAAAAGCGCACAGGAGGTTTTTCAGAAGAGGATTGCTCAATATTTTGACAGTATTGAAAGTGTTGAAGTGAACGTCGACGACTTACTTGTATGGGAGAGAAATAAAGAGAAACACGACAATCGACTTTGAGCCGTACTGCAGAAATGCAAGGAAATTAACCTTACCCTTAATAATTACAAATGTCTATTCAACAAGACAGAAATTGTTTACATAGGCCATGTGATCTCTAAGGAAGGGATAAAACCTGATCGAGAAAAAGTTGAAGCAATTATCAACATGTCACCACCAACGGATAAGAAAAGAGTTGAGCGTCTAGAGCTAGGAACTGCTAATTATCTGCCAAATTTATTCCAAGCATGTCGGCAATAAATGAACCAATCCGAAACTGATTCAGAAGTGAAAATATGTTTATCTGGGAGAAACCACAAGAGAATACGTTCAAGGCTATCAAGGATATTTTGTCTAAAGAACCAGTCCTTACATTTTTCAATTGGAAAAACCTGTATGAGTTAGTGTAGTTGGTCAAAATGTGGACTATGTGCATTACTTCTTCAGGACAAAAAAAACAGTTGCATATGCGTCTTTAGCATTAACAGACACAGAAAAACATTACGCACAAATAGAGAAAGAACTGTAAGCTGTAACTTTTGGTCTAGAAAGATTCCACCAGTTAACTTAAAGAGTAAATGTTGTGGAAAATGACCATAAGCCGTTGGAAAACATTCTTTTGAAATCATTGGTTCAAGCTGACTACAAAGACTCTTACTTCGCCTTCAGAAACATTGCTTTGCATTCAAATACAATCCCTGAAAAGAATTGTTAATAGTGGACACACCATCTCGTGCTCATCTACTTTCGGTGAAAAAACAGAAAGAAGAAATAGATGATGAAATTGAAGCTCATGTGAATTCTGTGTTTCTTGAGGGAATTCCTATAGTTAAGCAGGGTTCTCCATCATTTCAAATTTAACTGTGGCATTAGACTTACGCGAAGTGCAAATAATCGTGGACATTTTGCGACCAAATTCGCAAAATAACCACGAAATAAATTAAAAAACACACACACACCTCCTGTGAATCAATATTTTAATACAGAAATGGCATTAATTGTATGACAAATTGATTAATAAAATTAATAATTAAAGTCATATATTGTGTATTTTTAGTTCGGACTACTAGTAACTAAAATTTAAAAGATCTTTCTATTTGTTTTATTAGTTTATATAAAGACTTTCCTGTAAATTACACAATTTAGATCAATCACGTTTCAAAGATATTAGAAATTTAAAACAATAACCGATTTATTTACCGACTCCACATTTAAATAACAGACACAATATAAGATCAATTTGACCATAGAAACGTGAGGTTATTCGAGTTCAAAATCGGTGAAAATTTAAATTTGAACGTAAATAACATATATCATTTTATCTTCACTCAATCTCGTATATTTTTTTTAGCTCAGAAATGCCATATATAGCTTTAAAACAATTAATCGATAATCATTAATTATATCATAAAAAAGAAATGCATGTAAAAAGGATGTTTCCAAAATATATGCCGTGAAGAAAAAAATACTACACTGTAACACATACTTACGTACTTATGGATAAACAAATATAAACTTTTAGAATCTGAAAATAATAAAACTTGTAATAATATGTTTTAAGCATTTAACCCTCATTAAAAAAAATTTTTATAAAAGGTACAAATTATACACATACAGTGTTCATTAAAGGACAGAAAAAATTCTGGTAGGTCACCCAATCACACTTACATCTATATTATTACAAACATTGGTCTGAAAATGAAACTATCTTAAAACTTTAAGAAGTTTAGAGTCATAAAATAATTAGTTGGTGGATCTATCGTTAATTTTTCAACATTATAAAAACACGTAATGTTAAGAATGGGATACACGTACGATATTTGACTCTTAGTGCCAATACAAGTTTAGGGATGTGGTTATCTGTAGAAATATTAAAACATGAATTTATTGATGTTAAAAAATTTCATTTGCAATTATCATGAAGCGTGAAAAAAATGGCTCGTTTCTTTTATTTATGTGTCCAGCAACGTTTAGATTGATTGATTGTATGTTGTTTTACGTCCCATTCGAGAATTTTTCACTCATATAGAGACGTCACCATATACCGGTGAAGGGCTTCAAATTTTGACCTTTACTCGGCACTCAGGGCCATTGAGCAGTGAGGGATTTTTATCGTGCCAACGCCTGCCGTGACACGGGGCCTAGGTTTTTATGGTCTCATCCGAAGGACCCGCAACTTTCACTTCAAAGTGCCGAGCGCATGGCGAAGGAACAGTTGCTACCCATTTTTTACCGACTTAGGTCAGTCGCACCGAGATTCGAACTCACGACCTCCCGATCACGGAGCGAGCGCTCTACCGACTGAGCTACCGTGAACGGTAGCAACGTCTAGAAGATAACTAGTTGTGCAAGCCAAACAATGGGCCCTTAAATTAGAGTATATTAACGATTAAGCGTTAGAAATTGGAAAAATGGTACATAATTTGGAGATTAATTTATGGCTTTATAACTTGATATATTTATCTTTTTGATGACGACAGTCCTACTGTGGCGCTAATATTTTTTTTACTGTGGCGGAACTATGGCGCTGATTTTTTTAACTGTGGTGGGAGAATATTGAAAATTGTTGACCTGAATACAAGAATCAGTTGTGTAAATGAGGAATATTGGAAGATAAAATCAGAACTGTTGTTGATGGAATTATCATGATGAATGAAAGAATCGTTTTCCAGACGTTCTACAACCAGAAATTCTTATATACTTACATGTCGGATATTTCGGCATTGAGAAAACGAAGGCTTGTGCAAGAACTGTAGTTTATTGGATTGGAATGAATACAGACATTGCAGAAATGATATCCAAATGTAACACCTGCATGGACTTTAGAAAAAGAATCCAAAGAAGCCATTACGACCGACACCCACCCCAAATGAACCGTGGCAACTAGTAGGATCTGATTTGTTTACACTGAACAATGAAGATTACTCAGTGATTGTATATAATTATTCCAAATTAGCCAAACTTGAAAACATCAGAAGCAAAATTGTCATCATGCACATGAAGTTAGCATTTGCTCGTCATGGTATCCCATTCAAAGTTAGGAGTAATAATGGACTGCAATACACATCCAGAGTTTTCAAGGACTTTGCCAGGAAATGGTCATTCAAACATACTACTTCAAGTTCTTACAATCCACAAGGAAATGGACTCGCCGAAAAAAAACTTACAACATTAAAACGTATGTTGGAAAAAAGCCAGAGTTGGTGGAAAGGATCCATACATCAGTCTATTGGAATATCGTAATACTCCAACAGATGTTGACTCTTCAGCGCAGTTACTGATGAGTAGACAAATTATAGATCTATTCTACCCATCACTAAAGAACAACTCAGACCTAAATAATTATTCCAGCAGAAGAAAAAAAATATGAAAAGCGAAGAAACTCACAGAATCAACAAAAGAACTATTTCATCAGTGAACAGAAAAATCTCCCATGTTTGAAATCGGGACATAAAGTTCGATTCCAACACAGAGGACAATGGATACCAGGGTACGCAAAAGATAAAATTCATGACAGATCCTACAATATTGAAAACTTAAATGGTAATCAATTTCGCAAACATCATCAAACCAGAGGAAACTAGTTTTCGAAAACGTATCCCAGAAATGATGATATAGACGACTTCAGTGGAACAGAAGTACCCGAGCAGCCGGTACTCAATGAAACAAACGTGCCAGAACAGGTATTAGAGCCGGTGCGACCAGAAACATAAAGAATGCGATCCAGTCGTGAAGTACACCCTGCAAAGAGATTTGCGGATTATGTGTGATGTGATGGGGCATAATAATCCCCAGTGCAATATTGGTTGTCAAAGCAGTCTACTTCGACATGAACTGTTATTAAATTTGAGAATCTTATAATGAGTTCATATATATATTATGTAAATATGTTATATTTTAATCTCTAACTTTCAGTATAAAAATTTAAATTTCAAATTTGAAATTAATTTGCAATGTTCTATCCAAATTAACCGTTATATACAGTTTATTTTGTACATTTAGTCTTTAAAGGTGAAAGATGTAATTATATGTTATCTGTTTTTTTTTTCAGATCCGTTTTTGTCAGATTATTTATGTTTATACTTTCTGATATTGGGAACTCTTGAACATTAACAAAAAGCATGCAGCACGACCTGGATGTTGTGGTCACAGGCACCTGAGTAACATATATTTCTTTTTAAAAAACCCATACCTTATAATACACAAGGTAAACATCGACCGCCATCTGAATTTTTTTTAGGTCGGTCACATCAACTTGTATTTTCCTCTGAAACTCCGTGAAATAAATTTCCTGCAACCATATTCATTCTGTGGCCAGTCTTTCGAGGTCTTAACTTACGGACAGTGTTACCAAAAGGGTCTATCACACTTGCAAATAGTAAAAATCTAGAAAGTAGAAAAGTGTAGCTGACTCCTTAATATTTATTTGAGCTGTAAAATTTGATACCTATGAACAATGTGGTTTCCTTCAAAAAACGCTATATACTATATTGAAATGGTTGCCAATCCATCTCTTTTTCATGAATTTTGTTGCAAATCCATTAAAAAAAGATGGAAAATGGTTGATTATTTGGAAAGACACATAAAGCGTACACACTACTTTTTGTCCTCTATTTCTTGATTGAGGATGAACTTTTATATGCGGCCCTTATCGTGGTATAATTGAGCAATATTTATGGATAAATGAAATGATACTTTTATCAACATGACAACACTTAATTAAGGAAATACCACAGAAATATCTAAGCAATCCTTTTTTTTTTTTAAATATTTACAGAGAAAAACGTACTGGAGGTAGTATCTCTGGCAGATGAATACCAGATATGGACCTCAGAGAAAAGTGCGAATCGTTCATCCAAGAGAATTGCAGTAAAGAGGGAAAATATCTCATTGAAACAAGAACTCTTGTGGATTATGCTGCGTGCGCCGAAAAACACAATTTGACCCTGATTCTTCCTTTCATTATAGAACTTTGCTCCAAACGCAATTCTGAGTCAATGAAAAATGCAAAACTTGAAACAAAGGTTACTGCTGAAACACAACAAAAAATTCGTGATATTCGACTCACTTCTTTGGAACAAGAAATAGCATCTACTTTAGACAATGGTAAATACACTGTACTTGTAAAAGAACGTTAATTACAATGAAGCATAATTATTTTGATTGAACGGATACTGCCAAGTTTTTCCTTTTATTTCAGTAGAACAAAATATTTTACAATTAATGGAACTGGCCTGGGAAACTCAAAATGATGCCAAGATGGTAAAATGCGAAAACCGTCTCGTTGCTATTTGCAAACAGGTTTACAAGGAAACAGCTCATACTTTTTCCAGGGAAACACTTCTTGATTATATAATCGCTGCTGAGAGATACGAATTGAAAAATCTTTTGACTTGTAGTATTGAACTAGCCTCTAAATGCAATTCTATGAAATTGAAAAATGAGGAGAAATATAAAAAGATTACAAATTTAACAAAATACACGATAGATACGAAACGTCTAAAACTAATCGAAAAAAATCATTATGATGCCCATAACTTATTTCCATATTAATTCTATGTTTTTTGACTATTTTGAATTGTGAAATCGTTACTTGTCCATATTTGATGTTTTGATACCGTTAAAACTGTTCATGTCACAAAATAGAACTGTAGTCATGATATCGAAAATTTTATAAGAATATTCCAAAGCTGTCTTATTTATATATAGAGAGGAAAATAAAACAAAGATGATTTTAAACACGTTTATTGTGATATTGGCGATTATTAGTCGTGATATTTTTAAAAGCAGCGAAGGGGCGCCAAGCGTAAAGTGCGACCCCAAATTACAACAAGCAGCAGCAAACAACATGAAAGCATATACATATACCATTAATAAGCATAAATATGGCAGTACCGGGAATACCGCGAAAGGTAATTAACCTTACAATTATATTTTATGTATTTTACTTAAACTTTACAAGTATGTAGAGTTATCGTTCCGGGTTAACCGCAAACGTAACTAAACATATTTTACCAAGCAAAGCAATGCATTAATTTGTTGAAAGCAGTGCACATTTTCAAGGTATATGAGTTTGTTTTAAGCAGCAGCATCACAAAGAAATATATCATAAGTTGAATGGCTCGGCGCAAACGCAACGTGGCTGAAACCTTTGGAAACACAGGTTTCGGTCGCCCCACAAAGTGAGGAAGCCGCATTCAACTGACCCACAATCAACAACCCTAAAATCCTATTTACTGGGTAAAATTTAAACACTTACTCCAGGACCCCCACCTTTTTTATATTAAATAGAAAATATGCTATTTGCTTATTGATGTGTTAATATGCAAGTTATATTAGGTTGGGAACAATTCCCCTGTAGAGAAATCATCTCGCTAGAGCGCGATTATCCCTCTTTAGTGAAAGAATAAACAATACCATGAATAGGTGTTTGATGTTTTGATAATAATATAACAAGTTGCTGTCCTTTAAAAAAGGACTGCAATACGTGGACCATATGCATGTGTTTCGAAACGAAATTCAAAGAAAATTTCTAGATTTAGTGAGTTTTAAAGGTGTAATTAAGTTTAATCTTTTTTTTTTTTTCTAATTTTCATCGTTATTTAAGTCTGCTTAATTAGGCTGCAATGATAAGAAAAAATCATGACCTTGAAATGATATGAATATGAAATGTTGATCTAGGTATCTATTACAATTGTAATTTAGCCTTTAAAATTAACAACAGAATTAAAAGAGGCTTAAGTGCAGGTATCGTAATCTCCATTGGCGTATCCAGGGAGGGGGGGTTCGGGTGTTGGAACCCCCTTTATTTTTGCAGAAAGAGGAAGAGAGAGAGAGAATGTTTATTCTGGAATATATATATTTATTCAAATCTAGTATTTTCAATAAAATATTACATGTGTAAGTACTTCAATCTCTGCCCTTTCTGCTCTCTAGATAGAGTTCTGCTTATTGCTTCCTCCGTTTACCTTCACAATACCGGTCCCGGGCCTCGACCACCCACATGTAACATGAAATATTTCACTTTGATATCATCGGAAGATTCCAGCGAACGAACGGCTATGCCATTTTTGGACCATCCTCTAAAGTAACTAAGCTAACTTTAAGAAGTATGCATAAGAAGTCATGAAAGGGAGTATCCATAAGACAATATTATCCTTTTACAAAAATTTCATATTTCTTATGCAAAATTTGTACATGACAATTAATTGTCATGTACAAATTTTGCCTAAGAAATATCAAAATTTTTGTAAAGGACAATATTTATCTCCTTATATTATGGGGATATTTTAATCAATGAAGAGAAAGGTTCAAAATGTCCCGTAGTCTATGGGGGAGGGGGGCTCACTTTTTCTTTAAAAAAGTCTTTTGTTAGAATTTGAATATATAAGTTTTAATTTGCATTGAAAGCTTCCCCCGCACTTTTTGTTGCGGAAAGGTTCAAAATACAGAAAATCAAACATTTAAAAGAAATCAAAATGTACCGAAAAGTTAGACGAAGTCACCCCCCCCCCCCCCATAGGATTTTACAGGGTGGTGCACAGGATGTTAATTTATTTATTTATTTCTGCTTGTCAACTCTTTTTGGAGGTTGCCCCCTTTGAAAACCGTTGCTACGGGCTTGAATGTAAGTGTCTGTGGTGTGACTTAGAACCCCCCCCCCCCCTTTACTAAAGGGTTTCGAGTTATCTTAAACAATGCTAAGTTATCGATTAACTCGATCAATTTAAAAACTCAATAAAAGATTATTTTTGTGTGTTTGTTTTCTCTCTGTCTCTTTTAAATAACGGAATGGTTAATATACAACATCTGCAACCGTAACTTCTCGGCAGAAGGTCTGAGAAGATGCGATTGATCTTATCGCACGTGTGTAGACCTAGGCTATTTGGTCTTGCAAGCACAGGTGTGTGTACTGTTTGCTAGTGACGCTTAAACTGGTGACGGTATTTGCTACAGACATGAAGAACTATACACCAGTTTCATAACATATACATTTTTTTTTCCTATTGAAAATTGGAGTAAATTAAAGTCGAATATTTTGGAAATGGGGTAACCCATATCTATTCTTGTTACAACGACCGTTGTCAATGCATCCATTGACGAGTTCATTGGTTACTCTGAAAGGTGGCACAGGTTTACTTAACATTTTCTATAATGATCTGCCTACTTTGAGTGATTGTAGCAAAGTTGTTAAATTTTAATCGGGCTATTTCGATTCATGTAATGCTTAACGGCTGGGACTTAACATCTGTACTAGATTTATACGGAAGTATCCTATCATTGGAAAGATAGATGGTACACGTGTAGCACAGATCTGTAGTACGCAGAATTTTTTTGTTGTTGGATGTTTCTCCCTCTGCCCCACATGGAAAAACATTGCTACAGGCCTTTATCAAGCTATATTTGGATTGCTACCAATCAAATTATTTTGCAAACCTTGATGCACAAAACTAATGCCGGTAAACATGGCAAAGACTATCTTTTAAAACCTAGTGGTTTTAACTCAACATGTTCAAGCTGTTAAGCTATCTCTATAAGTTCTTCCTACTTATTTAAAATGCTTGTACCATAGAATTTAGTTTGTATATAAGGGTATATGTATTAAAGAGAAATTCAGATCTTGGTTACGCCAAAGAATACATAAATACGATGTGCAGATTTTAGAGCGAGGTTTGCCAATGATTGGCATATTCTAATTCGAAGAGGGCGAATTGTTCTACGGGCAAGTTGTCTTAGAGGCGAACTCTCTAGCATCCTCGCGCATGCGTAGCCTGACGTAAGCCCATGGCATCCGGTTTAACTCCGCTAATATATTTTCTGCGTGGACCTCAGGGTCCACGCAATCAAAAATCTCTTGTTTTTTTAATCTGGGAGAACGCTGCATGGGGCGTGAATTTCCTACATAAAACTGACAACACGGGTTAGAAATTTAAGACAATTAGTGCTGCATGTGAGAATAGGAGGCTGAAATCCACTGTAAATCGTGCATTTTTCCCCAAAGATTTTTAAATTTACAATTATATATGTTTTTCAGGCATATAGATATAAATAGATATCCAAATTTTATTCGTTAAGATTGCAGCTTTCTATTCATGCACAGAGAGTAATAATCACGTTCTCCAGAACCCATGACAATTACTTGAATTACTTAAATATTTGAACTTTGATGGACTATAAGATGTACGGAAGCGCAACTTGTTGAACTGATCGGGAAAAAAAACAACATATATATATTGACATATATAGAAGCTGGATACACCAATTATTAATTAAATAGAATTGAAAAAAATTAATAAAAAAGGTTTATTTAAGTAACTTGGCACTATGGCATTTGTGCATTGCCATGCTTACCGACCTCGTGACCCTTGACCTACTTTACAAAAAAGTTAAAAGTGCCAATATACAGCATATTTTTGACATTTAAGGGGTAAGTCTAAGCTAATTAGCATGTGCACTGATTGTCATAAAACATTATGAACAAGATGTGTTTGTGAAACACTGATGCCCCCGTATGGCAGCTTATGGCGAAGGTTAATGTTTCTCAAATGCAAGTCAAACTCCAGGTCAAGAGATCAAAAATGTTGGTACCCAAAGAAAGGTCTTGTCTCGAGGAATATACCTGTGAAATATGAAAGCCTTAGCTCCACAACTGTTCAAAGGTTATGGCGAAGGTTAATTTATAAAAATAATTAAAACATCAAGGTCAAGGTCAAATGGGGCCCCAAGGGGAGGTCTTGTTACAAGTGAAATGATTGGTTTTCGTGAAATGTGAAAGCCCTAGAACCAAATATTCATATGTTATTTTAAAATTAGTTTTTTTTTTAAATTAGGTAAAACTCCAAGGTTAAGCTCAATGCCAAAATTGTTGGTATCCAAAGGAAAGTCTCCCAAGGAATGCACATGTGAAGTATGAAAGCAGTAGCACCAAATGTTTAAAAGGTATGGCAAGATTAAAGTTTTTCAAAAGTAGGTCAAACTCCAAAATCAAGGTCAAAGGGTCAAAGTTGTTAGTATTTAAAGGAAGGTCTTGTCACATGGAATACATATGTGAAATATGAAAGCCCTAGCACCAACCATTCAAAAGTTATGACCAAGGTTACAGTTTTTCAAAAGTAGGTCAAACTCCTGGGTCAAGGTCAAATATTCAAAGTGATTGGTATTCAAAGGAAGGTCTTGTCACAAGAAATAGACATCTTAAAAATGAAAGCCCCAGCACCAACTGTTCAAAAGTTATGGCCAAGGTTAAAGTCTCATAACATTTTGCAAAAGTGTGTCAAACTCCAAGGTCAAAGTCAAAAGCTCAGATATGATGGTGCCCAAAGAAAGGGCTTGTCAAAAGGAATACACATGTAAAATATGAAAGTCATAGCTCCAACCAATCAAAAGTTATGGGCAAGGTTAAAGTTTTTGCGGACAAACAGACAGACAGACGGACGGACAGGGCAAAAACTACGAGGGGTGATCAAAAAGTTCGCGAACTATCTCTGTATTTACAAAACCACAATTCAGATCAGAATGAAATTTGGCACACATATAGTCATACACATATTCTA